CTGTCCTGGAACTAACTCACTAATCCTGGACTGGGATTAAAGGTGTGTACCATCACACAGGGCTTTTTATTTTTAATTTTTTAAGACAGGATCTCACTATTTGACAAATACCTGGCTATCCAGGCACTTACTTTGTAGAGTCACTTTGTAGGTGTTCTCACTGAGATCCACCTAACTCTGCCTCCCAAATGCTGGGGTTAACACATTCCTAGCCTATTTTTTTTTTTTTTGCCTATTGTATTTTTAAAGCAATACTTTAAATGATAATTGTCCCTGAATTTTAAAATTACCTTTCTTAACAATCTTGAAATCTTTTGAGAGTGAAGCTATGCTTTATAATTTGGGTGGGATTTTTGTTTGCTTGTTTAATCTTGGTTTATTATAAATAGGGCTATGTTTAAAGGCACTAGTTTGGATTGATTAGCCTGTCTTTGAATAAAGATTCGTTGTTATTTGAGACAGACTCCCACTGTTAGTTAGGGTCTTACTGTTTGACCGGGCTGGCTTAGTCTATACTTCATTTCTGATGAAGATTGTTTCTGACATTAATAAGAATTCTGGTGAACTTTTTGTGAAAAAGATCTTAAATAATGTTCCTTTCTATTCTGTTCTATATGGACCACAAGAGATGCAAATTATGCATCTCTCAGTATAGATTATAATTAGTTGTAAAACGCGGTTATTTCAAGCAGTCAGTATTACAGGAGAAAAGTTAAAATTCTTTTTTTTTGATCTTTTAGAAACTAAGAAAAGTTAAATTTCTTAACAGTTTTGATAGCTAGCTATTTGTTTTTCAAAATTTAATTGCTGTCACCTGTTTGTTTATTTTGTTGTATTTTAAGATTTAATTTAATATATATGGGTATTTTGTCTTCTTGATTACCTGTGTACCACATGTCTACAGTGTCCTTGGAGGCCAGAAACAGGCATTAGATTCTCTTGGAACTGGAGTTGTAGACAGTTGTGAGCTGCCTTGTGAGTGCTGAAAATGGAACCTGGGTCCTCTGCAAGAACAACAAGTGCTCTTTACCACTGAGCATCTCTCCAGCCCTGTTTGCATTTTCTGAGATAGGGACTCCCTCTGACCCAGGATGACATAGAACTCATAGCCCACTATGATCTTGAACTCGTGATTATCTTTTTGCTTCAGTGTAAGATGACAGGCATGAGCACCACATCTGACTTGCCCCATTAATGACTTTTAGGATCGTACTCTGTTACATATTTCTCCTTGGATTTTTTTGTTTTTGTTTTTGGAGACAGGATTTCTCTGTGTAGCCTTGACTATCCTGGAGTTTACTCTTGTAGACCAGGTTGGTCTCCAACTCACAGAGATCTGCCTAATTCTGCCTCCTGAGTGCTGGGATCAAAGGTGTGCTCCACCACTGCCTGGCCTATGTCTCCCATCTTTTAATGAATCATTAGTAGTCACTGATCATTTTTAAAATGTGCAGTCACAAAATGAAGGTCCTTGATAATTTTTTTTAAATCCTAGCGAAACTTTTTTTAAACTTTTTTTAACTTTTAAATATTTATTTTTATTTATTTATTATGTATACAATATTCTTTCTGCATGTATGCCTGCATGCCAGAAGAGGACACCAGACCTCATTACAGATGGTTGTGAGCCACATGTGGTTGCTGGGAATTGAACTCAGAACCTTTGGAAGAGCAGGCAATGCTCTTTACCACTGAGCCATCTCTCCAGCCTCCCCTTGATAATTTTTGATCTTATTAAAGCACTGTTTGCTACATGCTGTTATGTGACAAAACTTTTCTGGGAGCGCCACAATACGCAGGTCTACTCACCCCAGATAAGGAATCCATGATAGAAAAAAGTATGAAACTACAGCTTGATGAACCAGTGAGTTTTATTGGGGTTACTTACAGGAGCAGAAATGTCTCATCTCTCCAAAGCCCAGCCGAGCACGGGTGACAGACAACTCACAAAGCTGGGAGCCCAGAGCACACTTCACAGCCTGCAGAGTCCTTACCAGAAACTTCTATTGGTTTAAATCCCAGCTGATTCAGTCTCAGAGTATTTGCAGCCCAGCTTCCTTCTGTCTTAGACTCAGCTTTTATTGTACACTTTGTCAGGGAGGGGCCTAGTAAATTGGGTCAGTTTCAGGGACTTCCAGAAGCTATTTTGAGTTGTTTACCTTTCTGCTTAAAGGAGCTGCCTGCAGGATGGATTGGGGGAAATTTACGCAACAATGTAAAAAGTATTAAACAAAAGCAATCTTAAGTTTCATTTTATGGTTTATTTTCTTCCTGCAAATTCTTAGTACTTTGTATCTTACCCTTTTTTACCAAATATAAAAGATATTTTGCATTTTATTGCTGCATATTGCTAAATTTTTACAGTATTATTTCTCTCTCTCTTTTTTTTTTTTTTTTTGAGGCAAAATCTTACTCTGTATAGCCCAAGCTGTACTCATACTCAGACTTGAGATTTTTCTGCCTCAGGCTCCTGAATGATGGCCTTCAAGTATTTGTTACCATACCTAGTTTCTTCTCTTTTTCTAATTTTGTTTTGAGACAGGGTCACATTGTATAGCCTTAGGTAGCCTGGAACTTACTGTATAGATCAGGCTGTCCATGAGCTCCTAGAGATCTACATGCCTCTGCCTCCTACATACTTGTCCCCTTAGTCCACATCCACACCAGCATGAACTAGCAGTCACTTGTTTTATTGAACTTAGCTATATGGTATGTGTCACCACAACCTGGTGTCTTTTTCAAAAACTTTAATTACCACAATCAGGTCTTTTTTAAAAAGTTTAATTTTTAATTTGTTTATGCCTCTGTGTATGATGGCGTAGGAGGAGGAACATGTCACAGAATGCTTGTAGAGGTCAGAGGATAATGTTGTCATTTCATCAGTGGAAGTCATGGCCATAGGCTTGAGCCACCTCACCAGCCAATTGTTTTTCTTTCTTTAAATATAAAAGTTTGAAAAATAATACCTAACTTAACAGGCCTATGGCAAGAGTTCAGCGCCTTGGTGGGAATTCTTTTTTTTTGTTTTGTTTTTTCAAGACAGGGTTTCTCTGTAGCTTTGGTGCCTGTCCCGGAACTAGATCTTGTAGACCAGGCTGGCCTCGAACTCACAGAGATCCTCCTGCCTCTGCCTCCTGAGTGCTGGGATTAAAGGCGCACGCCACCACCACATGGCCTTGGTGGGAATTCTTTATCTTTCATACTGTCTTCGTTTATGAAGCACATTTCGTTTTCTGTGTGTATATATTATTTTCAAGCAAGTGGTTGGAATGGGTTATTTTGTGCTTTTAATTTGATATGTGGGTTTGGGAGGATAGGGGCTGGGATTTGGAGGAATAAGGGTTAAAAGCTTGCTAAATGTTTGTATTTTATGCCTGACTACCTTCAAAGACCCTGTGTTTACACCCTCATCTTTTAGGTTGCTAGGTTGTGAACCTGGGACCTCATGAATACTAAGCAAACAATCTACCACTGAGTTATACTACCCTAGCCCACTTGAAACATACTCTACCACCTTTCAGCTAATCATAAATGAGACTGCATGTAAAGCTCAGCTTCGTTTTTCTGTTTCTGATTATTCTCACAAGTGCTCTATCCTTTTTGCTCTGGGTGGTTGAGATGATTCTGCCCTGGAGACTTCTTCATGTCTCTCTCCTAAAGACTGTGGTAGGGAGTCTTATTTCTGATTATTCTTCTAACAACATTTAGCTCACACTAAAGTTTTTTGATCACGTCCCTTCTAATATGCAGGATGTATCTGTCTTGTTGCAATCTCTCTCAAATAAACACATACTTTGAAGCTCAAATTATTAAGTAACTTACGACTCTGTGATCACTCTGTGAGAAGTAAAGTCAAAGAGCCGGGTCTACACTTAAAAAGAAAGTCATTGATTTAGTGGCGGGTCAGTGGAGTGTGTATGGCAGCATTGGGCAAATCCGTGGCAGTGAAAGGAGTAACCTGATTTTGAAGGAGCAGTACCCAGTTAAATAGTAACAGAAAATGTGGTTTCTTATGTGAGAGGATAAATAAAGGTGTCAAGAACTGGCTTATGAGATAAAGGAGAACACAAAAGGAAGTGGAATAAATAAGTATCAGAAGTAGGGAAAGTAGAAAAGATGAAGTATATATTATGTCATATTGACAACCTAAGCAGGGAATGAGAAAAGCTTGAGAAAATGAGTCAGTCATTCATAAAGAGCTTAAATACAATAAGAAGTACTATAAAAGGAAGAAGGAGGACACCCACCCCATCTAGGACCAGTGTGAATAGAGGAGCACAGGAAAGAAGCAAGGGCACCCTTAAGCATTTGTGACCTAACCCTAGGTTTACATGGACTGTACCGAGTCGTTCTCAGCGAAGACTCAGCTTTCCTGTTTCTCCTTAGCTGTTAAATCTGATGGGTCTACCCTCTCCTCCTGAGGCTTACTGATTTCCCTCTAGTGGAATAAGTAGGTTCCTTTTTAAACTGTTTTGTTGTTGTTTTTGAGACAGGATTTCTGTGTGGCTCTGGCTATCCTGGAATTTTCTTTGTAGACCAGGCCGGACTTTAACTCAAAAGATCTGCTTGCCTCTGCCTCCCAAATGGTGGAATTTAAAGATGTGCACCAACACTGCCCAGCAGTTTCTTCTTTTTTTTTTTCTTGATTACTGGACTTGAATTCTACCAATATGACGTTTAGCTACATATTTGCAAAATTCCCTTCAGACCAATAGAACTTGGACCCTCCAAGTCTCTTTTAATATGGGATTTTGTCTTGTGTTATAGTGAGAAAGGAATCTTGGTGTACTCTTGAGCATTACCAATTATGGAGTAACATCAGAGTTACCATACCTGTTGTTTTAAAGTTGAAAGGCTTTTGATTTGATACACATAGTAAGAAACACAGAATCTGAACTTGTCCTCTTAAGATTTGAGGATAAATTCAAGTAATCTAATGAAGGAAAAATGCGTTTTTTGTTGTTCAGAGTATGAACTCTTGGGCCTCAAACTGGGTAGGCAGGTGTTCAACTACTAAGCCCAATTTGCAGACCCTATATTGAAACGTTTTGTAAATTGAAACACTGGAGAAAATTTCATGGTATTTATATCATACTAATTTTAATCCTTCTAGCAATAATTTCTACTTTATTATATTCAGGAAAATCCAAGGAAGTATAAGTAAGTTTTAATTGAGTTTTAGTAGTCGTTTCTGACCGATCGCATACATAAACAACAGCCAAAATTATTTTTAAATTTTAGTGATACTCTGCTTATGAAAACTATTACCATTTGTCATAAGAGAGCATTTGTATGTAGTAGTCGCTCTAAATTGGATATCCTCACAGAGTAGAACTTGACTTGATTCCCTTCATCCTTAACTTTTGGTATAACAATTATAAGCATACAAATGTGGACATTTTGGGGTAGTACCTTGGGTAGTGAAACTTTTTTTTTTTTTACCCACATTAGTTATATTTTCTTGTTTTACTTTGTATCTATTTTGGAAGGGGTATGTGCTTGTGTGTGTATATGTGACTAAGGTTTTTCAGGCTAGCCTCAAACTTCTGATCCCGCCTCAGCCTCCTGGGTTAATATACTTCTGTTTTTTTAAAAAGGACACGATTTTCAATGAACTGATGTAGCATATAACAAAATAATGACTTCATGTAATTGTTGAGACCCCTTCCCCTCCTCTATCCTGTCGTAATGAATTATGTATTCTATCTTACAGGCTGTAGAAAATCTTTGTTCTTACAAAATTTCTGCAAATTTGTATATGCAGCTGAGACAGATCTGTGAAGATCACATCAAAGCACAGATTCATCAATTCAGAGAATATCCTTTTCAAAACAGAATATCTTAAATTTGTTTCTTCTTGAATATCTCCATTGGAAGTGGAATGCCTATGTTTGTTAGACTATTTTTCTTCTGTTATTTCTAAAGGAAAAAAACAAAGTTTTGAAATTTCACTTTTAATTAGGGTCAAAATCTACATGTGTGGTATTTATTTAAGTAAAAATTTCCTGTTGTTAACCTTTTGTTCTGGCAGATTTCCATTGAGGGAAATCTTAAACAGAAAACATAATGTTCAGTTATGTTTAAGTTTAGATTTAGCAGGCTGGAGAGATGGCTCAGTGGTTAAAAGCACTGACTGCTCTTCCAGAGGTCTAGTACACACATGGTGGCTCACAACCATCTATAATAAGATCTGGTGCCCTCTTCTGACCTGCAGGCATACATGCAGGCAGAATAGTGTATACGTAATTAATCTTTTTTTTTTTTTTTTTAAAAAGACTAGATTTAAAGGCAGGTTAAGTGGGATCTAATTTCCTGCAGTTTAAGAAATAGAATTATGTTCTATAATTTATTTAATTTCATTTGTTCTATGGGTATTATATATTTAAATATATATACAAATAAGACAAATAAGACAAAAGATATACATATTGCTAGTATGAAACACTTTAAAATATCCTTAACATATGTCTCAGGGATTCATTGGATAGTGTTCTTTTTCTAAAAAAGATTGATAAATGCTGGCAAAATCATTGTAGGCAAATGGTAAGTTGCAAACAAGTTCAAGTGCTAGAATGTTTCGACAATTTTGTTGAAGGAATTACTTGGTAGCTGAGTGGTAAAGCACCAGCTTAGCCTAAGTGATACCCTGGTATGTATCCTGAGCACTGTATAGTAATAGAAAAAAAGCCTTTAGAGACAGAAGTGTCAGCACACAATTGGAGTTCCAACACTTGGGAAGCTGAGACAGAAGTATTATACATTCTAGGCCAGTCTGGGCTACATGGTAAGACGTTGTTGCAAAAGAAATAGGTGAATAAAAAACTTTTGTAGCCAGGAGGCTCTCCATAATGGTTCTTTTTCTAAATTGGAAGCTGATTTGTGTTAGATTTTTACTTTAAAACTACAAATTATAGAGAAACTAACATTTCAGAATGATTTCCATTTTAGAGTCTTTGTTGTTGTTGATAGCAGTTTTTGTGTTGAGGTTAGGTCTTACTCTGTAACTAGACGAGTTTGAATTCACTGTGTAGCTTATGCCCATCTCAAATTCATGGCAAATCCCGCTGCCTCAATGTCTTAAGTGCTGGGAATTATGTGCATCAGTCATCACACCTGACTTCCATTCTTTTTTTTCTGAATTATTGACCCCGAATTATTTCTCATTAAAGTTTCATCTTCCTCTGTTAGTCTTATTGGTAATATCCCCATAGATTATTTGGCTACTTGTAAAAGTTGGTATTTTAGTTTATTTAGATGATGCATTTCTTCATCCTCCCTAGTCTGGTATTATTCTATTAATGCAAATAGAAGTCTTTAAGTTTACTTCCTACCCCCCTGAATGCCATGGGTATAGTTTAAGACAGTTTTACCTCCCAGCACTGCTGCTAAGGAAGAACTAACTGTACCTTGGATTTCTTCTTTTTTTTTTCTGAGATAGACTCTCGCTGTGTAGCCCATGCTTGCCTGAAACTCAAGATCTTCCTGCCTTAGCCTCTTGAGGGCTGGATTTGTAGGCATGCACCCCAGTACTACCTCTTGTTTCCCTTTTCAGTTACTTCTTAAGTAGCAAAGACATCAGAGGGCCATCTTAATTCTCTGTTGTCAAGATTAATACAATAGTTTAAAGATAAGTATATGAGGTATGCTCAGCTAGATGTATTTATTTGAATGTTGGATGCTAATAGTCTGTTTAGTATAAAAATCTTTCAATTCTCATTAAGAGCTGCAGTTTCAAAATTTCAAAAATTGCTTGATTTTTTTTTTTGACAGATAATGATCAGGAGCATTTTTTTGTTTCTGGATAGAACTTATGTTCTTCAGAATTCCATGCTACCCTCCATTTGGTAAGAATGCCAGAGAATTACTATGAAAAAAAATTTGTTACATATTATAGAACATTATTATAACGAAAGAGATCAAGATGTATTCAGAATATTCTCCTAAGATTTCTCGTTTGAGTTTTAGCTTGTTTTGCCTGTTTTAATATGGTAGAAAGCTAACTTTCGGTCATAGTGTATGAAGAAATTTCTATGTAAAGTATGAAGATTAAAGTTTACTATAGAATTTCTGTGCCCAAATCTTGTTATTGCTGATTATTTAAGGTTTCTTTTTACTTGTGACTATATACTGAAAAGTGTGTCTGTTCGTGAAAATAAAGTAATAGAATGAATTGGACCCTCCTCAGGTGTTTAACATATACCTACAGTAATGATTGAAATTCACTGACTTTCAAGTTCTTAAACCACTTACTAAATGACCAAATAAATTACTCAAATCCAGTAGAGTGAAAATTATTTTATGTCTTTGAACTAGTTTTATCTTTGATTTGACTGAGAAAAGGTAGCCACCAGAGGAAATAAGACACTAAAAAAAGTTATAGAGGAAGCCAGGAATTCAGTTTCAGTTCCCATTAAAGACAAAATGAGCTTCCTGTATGCTTTCATAATGTTATTCAAAATTAAATACGGATTTTATTCTTTTATAATCACTGCTTCGAAGTTTGGGGCTCCAGTTAACATGAGATAACTAAGTTAACTAAGCCTGTTCAGACATTGTATTGCCAGTTTAGATGATGTTTTTTTTTCTTTTAATTTTAGGGACATGGGATTAGAGTTATTTCGGGCTCATATTATAAGTGATCAAAAAGTTCAAATGAAAACAATTGATGGCATCCTTCTCTTGATTGAGAGAGAGCGGAATGGTGAAGCCATCGATAGAAGTTTACTTCGAAGCCTTTTAAGTATGCTGTCTGATTTGCAAGTAAGTTACACCTAGCACTCACCTGTGCTGCCTACGAATCTGATTCCTATTCCTAGTTTGATGTTTGAAATCCACAGTCAGAGTGCTGTTCAGATAGACTTCAGATGGGATGGAAGACATTCAGTACATATTTAATGACTAAACAAATACTTTTGGTTTTTTTCCTTCCTAGATTTACCAAGACTCTTTTGAACAACGATTTTTAGAAGAAACTAACCGGCTTTATGCAGCTGAAGGTCAAAAGTTAATGCAAGAAAGAGAGGTATTTAAAAATCACGATTAATAAATCCATCACCTCTTACATTAGATATTACATTGTAGAACACAAACTTCCCTTTGTATTTATATTCCCAACATTGTAATGCTCTTCTCTCACTTAGGTGCTCCTTTCTTTTCTCTCTTCTTAAAGGCCAGAATTCTGGATCATAAACTCTACCTCTAATTTTACATATGATTCTACCCTGTCACATTTGACGGGGCTGATCCCCGGATCTTTTGGACTTGACATTTTCTGAGTGATTTAAGGGGAGGAAAACAATAATATAAAAAACTATCTTTGTAGGTTCCTGAGTATCTTCATCATGTTAATAAACGCCTAGAAGAAGAAGCAGACAGACTTATTACTTACTTAGATCAGACCACCCAGTAAGTATTACATGCTTAGTCTTAAAACTGTTGGTAAAGCAATTTAAGCATCTTAAACATGTTAGTAACAATTTTCAGGTCTGACTTAGTCTTTAACAATTGTTTTCATAATGCAAACTTCAAGTTATTATCTACCTTAACTAATTAGACTTAATCAAGGGTTTGATTATTGTTTGGATGTGTTAAGTGTGTAATTTCAAAATAGTATTAGGGGTTAATCTTTAAAATTTTTGGTGTTTTTGATGCAGAGTTTCACTAAAACCCAGGCTGCCCTGGAACTCACGGTCCTCCATGCCAGCTCCCAAGTTCTGGGATTACAGGCATGCACCGCTATGCCCGGCTTTTAAAATCTTTTTAGTGATTAAAACTCAGTAAGTGGGCGTTCAGAGAGAAACTGCTTCTGTACTTTTCAGTCTTACTAACCAAGTAGTTCCATTAAGCAGCATAGATAACTGTTTTTACCTTAGTAAAAAGCTGAGAAACTTGGAAAAAGCTAGGCACAGCAAGACCATAAAAAACATTACTTTGAGCAAATTCTGAAATATGCATTACTTTTCTTCCTCTAGGCATAATGCAAAATAAATCTTCAGCACTATTAAATTGGCACATACGATAGAAATGACAAAATTAATGTAAAATGAAATATTTGGCTTCTTTTCTCTAGAAGTTTGAAGTTTCAGAAGAATTCTATCTCAGTAATTCTGTTTTCCTCCTTTTAGGAAGTCACTGATTGCTTCTGTTGAGAAACAACTTCTAGGTGAACATTTAACAGCAATACTTCAGAAAGGTAATTGGCAATTTGTAAAAGATTACTAGGGCTGGAGAGATAGCTCAGTGGATAGGGGCATTTGTTGCTTTTGCAAAGGACTCTAGCAGTTCCCAGTACCCACATGGCAGCTTACAACCCTCCAAAATTCTAGTTTTCAAGGGATCCAATACTCTCTCTGTCCTCCGTGCACCAGGGATTCCCCCTGCACATGCATTCAGGCAAAACATAAGAAATAACGCATAACCCTAGCATATAAAATAAAAATATAAAATCTAAATGAAAAAACTAGATAAGGTCACCATCAAGTCTGCTCAGAAAGTTCAAATAAATACTATCCCTAACATGTGCCACCCTAGTCTTTTTTTTTTTTTTTCTGAGACAGGCTTTCTCTGTGTAGCCCTGTCTGTCCTAGAACTCACTTTGAAGGCCCCTGTCCTAGAACTCACTTTGTAGGCCATACTGGCCTCCACCTTAGAGATTCACCTGCCTCTGCCTCCCTAATCTTAATCAGTGGTGGAAGAATGGTCTTAGAACTGTTTGTCTCAGTTAGCCATTATTAGTAAAAACTGCTTATTAATAACTAAGCATCAGAAGGAAAGGAGAATATTTTGTGAATTGTTTTTTTATAGCAGTTTTAAGTTTTTAGTGCTCAGAATCATTTTATGAAAGCAGCTTGACCAAAAGTTTATCAAAGAATTTTGAATTTAATGAAGAAAAACCTCAAACTTGATAAGCATGTAATTCATTTCTGAAGATTGACGAGTGTTTCCCCTGTTCATTGTCCTAAACTTTCTGTTGTTGCCAGTTTCCTGACTGAAAGTGGAACTGAGAAGAGAGTTCTGCTAATTAACACCAGTCAAGAAATTGAGCTGGGTGGAGTGAGTCAGTGATAAAACATTTTAGTGTATATGAGTTGCCCTGAGTTCATCCAAAGTACTGCAATGCAAAAAGAGAAACAGTGGCAATTTGGACATGTAAGAATGCAGTAAAGGAAGGTATTCCTTGCATTTCAAATTCTGTGTGTGTGTGTGTGTGTGTGTGTGTGTGTGTGTGTGTGTGTGTGTGGTGTGTTTCTTAGCATTGTAGAGTGAAGAACTTCTAAAGCTTAGTGTTCTTACAGGATATACTTAATATAGTTTAGACCAGTATATCATAATAGTAATTTCAACTTACATTTCATTAAAATGCATGACAATTTTATTCACTTTTTGATTCTTTTATTTTAATGCCAAAATGTTTCAAACCAGGTTTAAATAACCTTCTTGATGAAAATCGAATTCAAGATCTGTCTCTTCTATATCAGCTCTTCAGTAGAGTTCGAGGTGGAGTTCAGGTTCTCTTACAGCAGTGGATTGAGTATATCAAGGTATTAACCGTTTACCTGTTGAGTTTTCTCTTGAATGTTTTGTAATCTATATACCAAGAATATCAGCACTTCTTGTTATACGCATTTTTAAGGAAGGATTTTTTTCTTTATTTGTTCGAAGAGGCTCATGAAGGCCACCTCTGTCTGCTATTGGCAGTTGGTGGTTTCTTGGAGAGGAAGAGTTATTTTTTTATTGATATTTATTGAGCTCTACATTTTTCTCTGTTCCCCTCCCTGCCTCTCCCCTCTCCCCTTCAGTCCTCCCCCAAAGTCCCCATGCTCCCAATTTACTCAGGAGATCTTGTCTTTTTCTACTTTCTACTTCCCATGTAGATTAGATCTATGTAAGTCTCTCTTAGTGTCCTCATTGTTGTCTAAGTTCTCTGGTATTGTGGTTTGTAGGCTGGCTTTTTTTGCTTTATGTTTAAAAATCACCTATGAGTGAATACATGTGATAATTGTCTTTCTGTGTCTGGGTTACCTCACTCAAAATAATGTTTTCTAGCCCCATCCATTTGTCTGCAAAATTCAAGCTGTTATTTTTTTCTGCTGTGTAGTACTCGATTATGTAAATATGCCACTTTTTTCTTATTCATTCTTCGGTCGAGGGGCATTTAGGTTGTTTCCTCTGGCCATGACAAACAAAGCTGCTATGAACATAGTTGAGCACATGTCCTTGTGATACGATTGAGCATACTTTGGATATATGCCCAAAAGTGGTATTACTGGATCTTGAGGAAGGTTATTTTCTAATTTTCTGAGACATTACCACACTGACATCCAAAGGGGTTGTACCAGCTTGCATTCCCACCAGCAATGCAGAAGTGTTCCCTTTTCCCCACAACCTCTCCAGCATAAGTTGTCATCAGTGTTTTTGATCTTGGCCATTCTTACAGGTATAAGATGGAATCTCAAAGTTGTTTTGATTTGTGTTTCTCTGATGACTAAGGATGTTGAACATTTCCTTAAGTGTCTTTCAGCCATTTTAGATGCCTCTGTTGAGAGTTCTCTGTTTAGGTCTGTACCCCATTTTTATTGGATTATTTGTTCTTTTGATGACCAATTTCTTAAGTTCTTTGTATATTTTGGAGATCTGCCCTCTGATTTTAGTTGGTGAAGATCTTTTCCAATTCTGTAGGCTGTAGTTTTGACTCATTGACTGTGTCCTTTGCTTTACAGAAGCTTTTCAGTTTCAGGAGGTCCCATTTATTAATTGTTTCTCTCAGTGTCTGTGCTGCTGGGGTTATATTTCGGAAGTGGTTCCCTGTGCCAATGTGTTTAAGTGTACTTTCCACTTTCTCTTCTGTAAGGTTCAGTGTGGCTGGCTTTATGTTGAGGTCTTTGATCCATTTGGATTTGAGTTTTGTGCACGGTGATAGATAAGGGTCTATTTTCATTTTTCTACATGTTGATATCCAGTTATGCCAGCACCACTTGTTAAATATGCTTTCTTTTTTCCATTTGATATTTTTTGCTTCTTTATCAAAGATCAGGTGTTCGAAGGTGTGTGGATTGATATCCAGGTCTTCTATTCAGTTTTAAGGAAGGAATTTTAAAAATAAAACATTTGAAATATCAGCCTGAGAATGTAGCTGTGTGACATTATCAGCAATAAAATTTGAGTGATATTGTTTGGGATTTCTAGCTCTATGACTTAAATCAGTGAATATGGGAAATTAAAGGATTGTTAGCATTCTGCAGTCATTTGGTTAGAATAAAGTCTAGGGCCTAACAAGTTTGAACCACACATCTCTCTTCCCTCCCTTCCTCATCACATTCCTATTTTTAAAAGTACAGATCTGACTTCCTTAACAATAAGAAAAAGCTTCTAGAGTCTAGTGATGACACCCCATTAGGATATCATGTGTACCCACTGGTTATTCAGTTTTGTGTTTATGAGTGAGTATTGCCTGTTTAGGTGTTTTTCCTTCAAAGACAGCTGTACCTTTTTAAGATTGTTGAATACATGTGCCAACTTAGAATATGATTTGGTGATTATTCTCATTATTCCATTTTCATTTTCAGGCTTTTGGAAGTACTATTGTTATTAATCCTGAAAAAGATAAAACCATGGTTCAAGAATTGTTGGACTTTAAAGATAAAGTTGACCATATAATTGATACCTGCTTTCTGAAAAATGAGAAATTTATCAATGCTATGAAAGAAGCATTTGAAACATTCATTAATAAAAGACCAAATAAACCAGCTGAACTGATAGGTATGTTTCACAATCTTAGAACATTTACTCTGAGGTAAAACCATATTATACCTATATCTTACATGTTTGATGTTGCTTAGGTAGTAATACCAAGTCTGAAATTGTCTCTAAGGACATGGGTGTAAGATATAAATTCCTTCAAGCTAAGTAGATTCTCAAAGCCTTAGTGTTCTATCTTTGTGAGATAGAACATTGGACCCTGTTTACTTTTAGTGAGCAAGCTTGATTCTGTGTTTTCCAAGCCTAAGGTGATTTATAAATGGGGCAGAGTACTATTTTCTAAAGGTCTCTAGTTACAGCTACAGGAAAAGGGCCGCTTGAAATTTAAGTAATGTTTAAGAATGCTGATCATCTGTAAAATTTCTTTCTCTCTCTCTCTCTCTCTCTCTCTCTCTCTGCCTTCTCTGCCTCTTCCTTTTCCTTCCCTTCCCTTCTCTCTTCTCTCTTCTCTCTTCTCTCAAGTACTAGGGTTTGAACCCAGAGTCCTGTACATGATAGGCAAGTACTCTACCACAGAGCTACATATGTAGTCCTTCAATACCCCATTTTGATATCATTATACCAGAAAGTATACTCTGTCTGTAGTCAGACTTAATGCTGTTAGGTTGTGGTATTTATTAGCCCCATGATATTGATAGTTAACTTGATCTCCCTTATATAGGAGACTTATATAATGCATGCACATATAGCAGAAGAGTATTTTATAGTCCTATTTGGTATTGTAGTGGTCAGCACCTTTTAGACACCCATGGTCACCAAACAGTAATGTTGTTTCTCCATTTTAGCTAAGTATGTAGATTCAAAACTTCGAGCTGGCAATAAAGAAGCTACAGATGAAGAGCTTGAGAAAATGCTGGATAAAATAATGATTATATTTAGATTTATCTATGGTAAGTGTTGGTTATTACTGCTTTCATGTTTTTCTTTTAAAACAAATCTCTCTGAGCTACATAGTGGTAGATACCTGTAGTCTAGAATTCAGAAAGCTGAGGCAGCATTGATGTATAGATTACATAGTGAGAATCAGGGCAACTGGGCAACATAGCAAGGCCTTGTCTCAAAACAAATGAAAAACAAAATAAATAAAGCATTTCTAGAGGATCTAGAAACATTTATATAACCTGGAGAGATTGTTAGGGGCTGGAGGTTGCATTTTATTCATTGCATATCTTTAATTCCTTAAGAAGAGTTGAGGAAGCTGGACAGTGGTGACACAAGCCTCTAATCTCAGCTCGCTGGAGGCAGAGGCGTGCAGATCTCTTGAGTTCGAGGCCAGTCTGATCTATAGAGCGAATTCCAGGAAAGCCATGTTACATGGAAAAACCCTGTCTCGAAAAATTGAGGAAAAAAAAATAGTTGAAAAATGTGACTAAATTGCCTTGTGCTTTGACCTTTGCACTATTAAAAAGCTGGAATTTTGCTGCTTGTTTTAAATCTCTTGAATTTTGGTGCTAACCATTACCAGTGTCCTATGGTTTATTTTCTGAAGAAAAGTTAATATTTTTATTAATAGTTTTACATTAAATAACTTTTGAAGAGCTTGGCATAGACCTCCAGTGTTCTTAAGTTTAATAAACTTGAATGAAATGTATAAAGTAAAATACCTTGAGGTGCTGTGATTAAGCTTTTTGAAGCCCATTTGTTAAACTTTATTTGGCTTATCATGAGTGTTATGTTTTTTATTTAATATAGGCAAAGATGTTTTTGAGGCTTTCTATAAGAAAGATTTAGCCAAACGCCTATTAGTTGGCAAGAGTGCATCTGTAGATGCTGAAAAATCAATGCTGTCTAAACTGAAACATGGTATGTTTGCCATTCTCTTTCCTTTTTTTATTATTTCAATTTTTCCTTTCTTTGATATTTGAGGGAAATGCTGGATTAATTGTACTATTTTCATTGATTGCTTTTTTGTTAATCAATTTATATACACATGATGAAAACATAAACCAAGGGGGTGGGGGGAGGGTGGCTCAGTGGGTAAGAGTGCTTTCTGCACAAGCATGAGGACCTGAGTTTAAATCCCAGCAAGCCGGGTGGTGGTGGCGCAAACCTTTAATCCCAGGAGGCAGAGGCAGGTGGATCTCAGAGTTTGAGAGAGTAGCCTGGTCTATAAGAGCTTGTTCCAAGACAGCTAGGACTATTACACAGAGAAACCCTGTCTTGAGAAATAAATAAATTACCCCAGCACCCAGGTAAAAAAGGCATGTGTATATGTGTAACCCCTGTGACTAGGAGTTAGGTGAGAATGGGAAATGAGGATCGCTGGGGCTTCTTGGACACCAACCTAGCTCCTAGATAACAATGAGAGATTCAGTTTCAAAGGAATAAGGTAGAGTGTGGTATGGCAGGACAGCCAGTCCTCTGACTTCTACATGCATGAATGGGTGCCTGCGCCTGTATACCCATTTCTGACCCTCACACACGACACAAACCCATAAATTTCAAATGAGCTTATGAGGATCCTAGCCTCTTGTTAATGTCCAAAATGTTGACTTTTTTTAAAGATAATTATTCTTCTGTATGTGTGTATAAAATGTTCCTGAAATACCTGAAAGTGGATAAGGTTGCTTGCTATAGGATTAAAGAGTTTGCCTCTGAATTAGGGCACCAGCTGGGGGTAAGAATTTCTTTTCATTCTTACCAAAAGTTACAGGTCATATTTTATGCCCAAGTAAGATTTGCATTTTATTTTCTAATTTTTAAATTCTTTGCTTGTACTACCTTGAAATATTATAACTATACAAACATCTTTGATAGAATGTGGAGCTGCATTCACCAGCAAGCTTGAAGGGATGTTTAAAGACATGGAACTTTCAAAAGACATCATGATTCAGTTCAAACAGGTAAATGTGAGTTAAAATCTTAATTCCTTGAACTTAAGGATATTTGAGTTAAGTTTTTGTGGCACTCCATATTGAAGAGGATAAATAGAAACATATATTTTTTACAAATAACTTCATAGCAGCTTAAACAGTACAGTAGAAGAAAAAGATCATCAAAAAATGTATGTTTGACCTAAGTCAGGATTTAATCTTCTTAAATATCTAGAGTGCCAGGCAGTGGAGGCACATGCCTTTAATTCCAGCACTAGGGAGGCAGAGGCAGATGGAGCTTTGTGAGTTCAAGGTCAGCCTGGGCTACAGAGAAACCCTGTCTTGAAAAACCAAAAAAAAAAAAAAAAGAATAAAACAGAAATACAAGTAAAATAATGTATTAGACTAAAGTTAGTATAAGAAGAACTATAGCTAGACTATAAGGTTGGGCACTTTTTTTGATGTCTAATCAGTTGGAGAATTTGCATGTTCAGAGCTTGTAATGGGAGAGAGGTGAGGTGATAAAAGGTGGGGGTGGTATATAATATCTCTGGAGACATTTGGGGTGAGAAGCTGAAGCTATAGTTTTTGAAGACATTGAAATGATAGAAAACTATTTTAAAATATTTTAAGAACATAGCTAGATGTAGTTTTTATATCTGCAGCTTCGGCTGCTTTGAATGCTAAAATAGATATGGGCAGTAGAGTGAGACCCTGTCTCAGACAGCAGCAGTAGCAACAACTAGGTAATAGTGATGGCAAATTAGATTTTATACTCTCAGAGTTTCGGAAATGGCTTCTTGATCACTGTATTGAAGGTGGTAAATAAAACTGAAGGACTCAAAGTTCAGTCAGTAGGATCATGGATCTTATAGTATCTGCCAAATAAGATTATCTGCCTTGCCTTTCCTCTTCTTCCTTTCCCACTTAATGTCAACATTTCCTTCAAACAGGGAATGGAACAGCTGAAAAACCAGACACTTGGGCTGGCTGGTGGGGTGAGGAGTGGGAGTTGCTGCAAGGTGCTCCAATCCATGTAGGGTTCCAAAGGTGGGGACTGCAGGTGGCATTGGGGCAAAGAATGGAGAAGAGATTCTCTAACAGCCTAGCTATATGCGAGAAGTTGAGTTAATAATGCCTAGGATGTTTTCATGGGATTTTTGTATGCCAGTATATCAAAGTAGCCACCTGTATATTTTTCTACTCCATTTTGTGTAACCTTCAAGTCTTAATAGTTAATTGACTTTATTTTCAGGATGGTTAGTATTCACACATATTTTTAGAATAAGGAAATTCTTGAATGAATCAAACTGAGCAGTGGTGGCACATACCTTTAATCCCAACACTTGGGAGGCAGAGAACTCTGAGTTCAAGGACAACCTGATCTGCATTGTGAGTTCCAGGACAAACTTCAAAGCTACAAAGAAACCCTGTCTCGAAAAAAACAAAAAAAAAAAGTCAATATTATGGTATGACATGTATACTTCTCAGTACATATGTTGATCTCAGTGTATATATTGATCTTTTTATAGTATATGCAGAACCAGAATGTACCTGGCAATATTGAATTAACTGTGAATATCCTGACAATGGGTTACTGGCCAACATATGTACCCATGGAGGTCCATTTGCCACCAGAGGTAAGATTAACTGTTTCAGACCTAAGCTATAGGTATAGAAATCACACTTTTTTTCTGCTTTTCGTTTGAAAATATGTGCCTTTTAAAGACTTACATTAGCAAACATATCAACAGAATGATTGTTAATAATTTATTCTTTTACTTCAATTTCCAAGTTCACTTGAGCACATTATTAATGAAGGTATGTTTCCAGATTTAGTGCTATTTTCCCCCAATTCATCTATTTCTTAATTAACCCTTAATCTTCCTAGCTGTCAAAAAATGTTGGCCATGTTTCACCTTAAGGCAGGACTGGTGAATATGATGGATAATTGAGCATCCTCTAATGCCTTGGAAACAGTCCCACTCAGGACCAAAACTTAGAAGGTTAAATAGAGAAAGATACTGAGAGTCCTCTATGAAAGTATCTTGGACGGCCCAGAGAGTAGATTTCCCTCAATAAGGGAAGAATATGGTGAAGATGAGAAAGGGCAGAACTTGAACTTTAGAAAGGCTCACATTTAACAGATAGTAAGAAGAGGACCTCCAAAAGAAACTTGGGCAGAAGCGGCAGCGAGAGAAGGGAATCAGTAGAATCAATAGAAGCCCAAGTCACCAGACATGAAGGAATGATTAAATAGAGTAGAAGAGCTAAAAGAGTGTAGATTGCTAAGCCCTGTTACATTGGTTGCATTGGGTAGAGTTTTACCTTAAAAAGTGATACTTACTGGATAATCATGAAAGCTATGAGAAGTTATTTCAGATGGGGTTAAGAGAGGTGAGAGGAAAGTCATTGAAGTTGCCCAGGGGTGAAGACACCTTCTTGCCACCAAAGCTTCAGCTCTGAAGTTCAGTCCCCAGGACCTACAAAGTAGAAGAAGGGAACTGACTCCTGAAAGTTGTCTTCTGACCTTCATGATCATGGCAGTAATAAATTTTAAAAAGTACTGAAGGTGGTATTGCAGATGCAGCTTAAAGAAACACTTACTTTTATTTGCTTCAGATGGTAAAGCTTCAGGAAATTTTCAAGACATTTTACTTAGGCAAACACAGTGGCAGGAAACTCCAGTGGCAGTCAACTTTGGGACACTGTGTGCTAAAAGCTGAATTTAAAGAGGTAAGTGGATATTCCCAAAACTTAATTTCTGCCTTCATCTTTAATATGGAAGTCATGCCCTTTTGTTTGGAAGGTTCAGGCTGCTGTTTTATAAATGTGATTGTGACACCACATGGCAACAGTGATAGTTTGTTATAACTTTGTGTGTTTTTTAAAATGATCACCATTTCAACAATTGAGTTGGCTCTTCTCTAAAATTAAAAGCAATAATCTTTCTGTAGCTGTGGATGCAGAGTTCACGTTATCTTGTCAGAAATTATGTTACTGGATGCTAGAGAACAGAGTGGGAGATTAAAGCAAACAATGTCCATCTTTAAATAAAAATTCCTACAGCTGTTCATTATTGCTCTTAACCAAGTCACAATCCATTTGAAAGTGGAGCCTAGTGGCACAGGGCTGTAATCTTTGGGAGTTAGAAGCAGGAAGATTGAGAATTCAAACACTGTTTGGCTAAAAAGCAATTAAGTCTAGCGTGAGCTACATGAAAGCTTGTCTCACAAATGCATTTAGAATAGCAATTCCTTGCTCCTTATCGTGAATATTTATAATGATACACAGAGGACTGAGTTATTTTCATTACTTTGTTTGGTTTTAATTAGGATTAGAAAAAAAACCCTATTAATAGGCAAACTAATCCTTCACCTTGTTTTCTGTGGAATCATACCTAAACCTCAAAGTGCACATTTTATTGCTACCTGAAGCAGGGTTTTGGTACTGTTAATCTGTGCTTCTTAACTCACTAATTAAAAATGCTTTTCCTGTTGACTCCCCATGGGTGGCCTTGCCCTTTCTGAGGAGTGGATGGGAGTTGGGTGGGGCAAGGTGGGAAGAAATGGGGAGAAGAGGAGAAAGGGAGAACTGTGGTTGGTATATAAACTGAAAAAAAAAATTTAAATCTTTTTTTTTTTTGTTTTTTCGAGACAGGGTTTCTCTGTGGCTTTGGAGCCTGTCCTGGTACTAGCTCTGTAGACCAGGGTGGTCTCGAACTCACAGAGATCCACCTGCCTCTGCCTCCCAAGTGCTGGGATTAAAGGTGTGCGCCACCATCGCCTGGCTTAAATAAATCTTAAAAATGCTTTTCCTATAAGATTTTTTTAATTAATAGGCTAACTTCTGTCTTTTCTTTTAACAGGGCAAAAAAGAACTTCAGGTCTCTCTTTTTCAAACCCTGGTGCTGCTAATGTTTAATGAAGGGGAGGAGTTCAGTTTAGAAGAGATCAAGCAAGCTACCGGGATAGGTTTGTATTGCATCTGTCAAGTAGCAAGCAATTGTAGTTCTCTGCTCTGTGTTGTAGTCACTGTGTTCAGAGCTCAGGGAGATACCAGGAAGTAATCCTTTCCAGTAGACATTTTTAAAATGATTCATTCATTTCTTTGTGTGTTGTGAACCTGTGTGAGTATATCTATAATACACATGTGCAGGAGCCTGTTGAGGCCAGAAGGGGGCATTGTATCTCCTGGAACTTGAATTAGGTGGTTGTGAGACTGTGTCGGTGCTGGGAGCTGACATCTATCTGGTCTTCTGAAAGACTAGAAAGTACTCTTCAGCGGTGTGATGTCTCTACAGCTCCCTCCTCTGTATTGATAATTTCAAAACCAGTAAGTATCAGTATGTAGTGCTAAGAAAAAGTGTGTTAAGAGAAACAAGATTGTGGAAGGCAGTAGGACTTGAGTTGGGCCTTCAAATTTTGGTTGGAGGGAAGACATGAAATAAAGGAAATAGTGTAAGAAAGACTTGGGCATTGTAGGTAGGAAGCATGAAAAGTTTGTAGCTTAGAATGGTGAGCTCTAAAACTCAGTAGGTAAGATATAGAGATAGACTGATGAATATAGCTAAAGTCTATGCTGTAGTGACTCAAAGTATAATAACTTAAATAAATAAACTATTTGGGCAACCTACCTGGCATTGATAGGGCAAGCTCTGGGCGCCACTCTGTAGTGAGGAGCTGCGGGCCACTTCCCTGCTGCCCCAGCTCCCGGCTGCCAGCTAGCTCTAGCTTATGCCCAAAATAATTACACGGAAACTGTATTCTTTTAAACACTGCCTGGACCATTATCTGTAGCCTCTTATTGGCTAGCTCTTACATATCGATCTAACCCATTTCTAATAATCTATGTAGCCCACGAGCTGGCTTACCAGAGAAGATCTTAACCTGCGTCTGTCTGGAGTGGGAGAATCATGGCGACTCTCTGACTCAGCTTCTTTATCCCAGCATCCTGTTCTGTTTTCTCCACCCACCTAAGGGTTGGCCTATCAAATGGGCCTAGGCAGTTTCTTTATTAGTAAGAAATCACTCCCACATCAGGCAAGCCATCTGGAACAGTAAAAAAGAGTCTCGTCTAGAAACTATAGAGATAATTCTGGCATAGAGTCATAAGGGGCTTCTGTTAGAATGGTTCTAACAGAAATTACTAGAACCATAGCGAAATGAAGAAGAAGAAAGACTTAAAAGATGATTCTAGGGTTTTCATTTGGTTAGGTTAGTAGTAGTATCATTAGCAATGAAACAGGGAGTTAATGGAGAATACAACATACTGGAGTGATAATAAAATTGCCAAGTGGTGTGTCATTTTAGTCATTGACCTGAGAGAAGGGAAATGGTGCATCACAAGTTGTGGTAGTTGTCCTCATAGGGTGACAATAAATGCTTTTGGAAGACAGCTAGAAAAAAATGTTATTGAATAGCATAAAGAGCAGGTTTTGATGACCTTGGGGGAGGGAAAAAGTTTAATAAAGAATGTGTAAAAATTAAATTGATGTTGAATCTTGTGTTCTACATGCTACTAACAAAGAAATGACTAACCATTATTTCTTCAGAGGATGGAGAATTAAGGAGAACACTGCAGTCACTAGCCTGTGGCAAAGCTAGAGTTCTGGCTAAAAATCCAAAGGGCAAAGATATCGAAGATGGTGACAAATTCATTTGTAATGATGATTTCAAACACAAACTATTCAGGATTAAGATCAATCAAATTCAAATGAAAGAAACGGTAAACCTTTTGTGCTCTCATCCTACTATATTAGGTTTATGTTTGTTTATAGAAGAAATTTACAGATTAAACAATTATATGCTTGAGTGTTTTCCCTGTCTATGTGTCTGCATCACATCAGGCCTGGGGCCCATATGTCAGAAGAGGGCATTGGATCCACTGGAGCTGGAATGGCTGTGAATGGTGCTGGGAATTTTATGGTGCAGGCCCTCTTAACTACTTGAATCATGTTTCCAGCCCCAGAATTTACAGTTTAATTTTTTAAGCTTGATTGATTATCTATTTCTTTATTTATGTGTGCACCAGAGAAGGGCATCAGATCTTTTTATAGTGATTGTAAGCCACCATATGGTTAAGGCCAGTGCTCTTTTTTTTTTTTTTTTATTATGTATACAATATTCTGTCTGTGTGTATTCCTGCAGGCCAGAAGAGGGCACCAGACCCCATTACAGATGGTTGTGAGCCACCATGTGGTTGCTGGGAATTGAACTCAGGACCTTTGGAAGAGGGGGCAATGCTCTTAACCTCTGAGCCATCTCTCCAGCCCCAAGGCCAGTGCTCTTAACCTCTGAGCCATCTCTCAGTCCCACAGTTTAATTTTCTAATGCTGCCATTACTATTAACTAAAGTAATAAGTTTCAGTATTTGCTTTTATGTTTCTTTTTATTGAGGAATCAACTTAATAGGGTTGGAAGTTGATATAATTGTTTTTTTGTTTGTTTGTTTGGTTTGGTTTGCTTTGGTTTTTTGAGATGGCTTCTCTGTAGCTTTGGAGCCTGTCCTAGAGCTAGCTCTTGTAGACCATGCTGACCTCGAACTCAGAGATCTCTCTGCCTTTGCCTCCCAAATGTTGGAATTAAAAATGTGTGCCACCACCGCCTGGCTTTTGTTTGTTTGATTGTTTTTGTTTTGATCTTTTTCTTCAGATAAATTTATGGAAGTAAATTTTTTGGCTCAATGGGTATGAATATTTTAAATTTTAGGGTAGGCCAGAGGATATTTCCAGTATCATTCCTTAGGAACTATCTTTGTTGTTTCTTGTGGTGGTCTCTTTGCCTGTAACTCACTAATTAGGCTAGGCTAAAACCAGTTCAAGGAACTGGTTTTACATGAACTCATGAAAATCTAAATTTAAAAATCAGGTCCTCATGATTGTAGGCAGGTACTCGACCAACTGAGTCTTTATCACCACAGTCCTCAAAGGTGGTGTTTTTCTCTTAATCTGTATAGGTTTTGCTTTATTGGTACAGGACAATATGGTTAGAACAGAATGGAGCTATATTTGTCAAGGTTTTTTTTTCCTCTTGCGTCTGTATTTATAAGGTCCCATTTAGATAAGTCAGTGCCTTTAGAACAGTAACACTGTTAAGTCCCTAATGTACAGTTTGTGTTAATAATTAAGTTTGACTTCATTTGTTAATTTTTTTTAGGTTGAAGAACAAGCAAGCACTACAGAAAGAGTATTTCAAGATAGACAATACCAAATTGATGCTGCAATTGTCCGAATTATGAAGATGAGGAAGACACTTAGCCACAATCTTCTTGTTTCAGAAGTCTACAATCAGCTAAAATTTCCAGTAAAAGTAGGTGTTTTTCTGTCTCCATACTGGACTTGTTATAAATGAAAGAAAATACATTTTATTCTAGACCCTAATCTTGCAAATATAGATGAAAAGCTTAAAGCCATTTGGAATGACAGGTATTTATTTTCTATAACCATGTGTGTGATTCACAAAAGAACTTTTGTTGATATATGTATACAACTGATAAATTGGGGAAACAATTTACACACACACACACACCCCGTACTTGAAAGTTTAGTGAGTAAATGTGGCTTTGAAAGTTTTGAAGTTAATTTATTATGTATCTTTTGAATCTTCTTTTCTGAAGATACCTTGGCATTTGACATATTTGGTTATTAGATTGAGTTATCTTGTTTAGTTTACCTTATATAAATGTTTCCTCAAATTTGTAAGAGGCTGCTGGGTGTATCTTAGTGGTAAAGTACTTTTAGTGTCTTTTGAAAATGTCTAATAATGGGGGCTGGAGAGATGGCTCAGTGGTTAAGAGCACTGCCTGCTCTTCCAGAGGTCCTGAGTTCAATTCCCAGCAACCGCATGGTGGCTCATGGCCATCTGTAGTGAGATCTGGTGCCCTCTTCTGGCCTGCAGGCAGACATGCAGACAGAATACTGAGAATACTGTATACATAATAAAAAATAAGCCGGGCGGTGGTGGCGCATGCAAAAAAAAAAAAAAAGAAAGAAAATGTCTAATAATAGTTCTGGTAAGCTGAAATTGGTCTATACACTGGTATGTTCCAATGCAAATGTCCAGTAGTAATAAAGGTGTTTAGACAATGAGGTATTGTACTATTTTCCAAATTTTAAAAGATTTCTAGACTGGGTGGTGGTGGTGCAGTTCTTTAACCCCAACGCTCAGGAACCAGATCTCATAGATGGTTGTGAGCCAACATGCAGTTGCTGGGACTTGAACTCAGGACCTCTGGAAGAGCAGTCAGTGCTCTTCTGAGCCATCTCTTCAGCCCCAATTGTCATAAATTTTAAACTAATTACATGATTCAGAAATCCAAATCACTTGTATATGTAGTTAAAATTTATAGTTAACCAGAAATATATAGGTGTGAGTTAATGTGATATTTTATCAAATTTCATGTAGTTATATGGATGTTTGGTGCTGGGTAATATAACGTAGGACCCTTGCATATACTAGACAAGTGCTATACCATCAAGAAAAAGTCTCATCCACTTTTGTTTTGTTTTTGCCAACCTTCTTGAACTCACAGTCTTTATTTCTCAGTCAGCCTAGTAGCTGGGATTATAGGCCTATGCTTCTAGGTCTAGTATTTCATTTAGTTTATGTAATAAATTCTCTTATACATTTTTAAATTTGTTTGTATTGTTTAGTTACTTAATTTCAGGTGTTTTTGTTGTTTGTCTATTTGAGACAGTGTCTTACTGTGTACCCCAAGCAGATATTACTCTCAATCCTGTTCTTCTGGCTTCCCACTTGCTGGGATTATAGAAGTACACTACAGTGCTCCAGCTGCATTTAATTAAATTTAACTTGATTTGAGACTTGGGTCTTAATTTGGATCTTGCTATGATACTCTGGCTGGCCTAGAACTCACTATGTAGACCAGGCTGGCCTTAGGCTCACACACATCTGTCTGACTTTGTTTGCCTCCTGAGTTCTTGGACTTAAAGTGTACTACCACTCCAAGCTTAGTAATGTTTTTAACTAAAAACTGGAGAACTAGCTTTTATCTTGAGTTAATGATGTGCTCGCCATTTCAAGGTATCTTTATTGAACTAAATAATATTGTTTTTCTTGTGACATGAAGGGGGCCAGCTTGTTGGGGTTTCTGTCCCGCCTGGTACCCCACAGCCGGCAAGCCCCAAAGAAAATCACACAGAGATCAGTATAAAGTATAAGTAATAAGTATAAAGCTAATTGGCCCATTAGGTCAGGCTTCTTACTAGCTCTTGTGGCTTATATTAACCCATTATTCTGATCTATTTTTGCCATATGGCTTGGTACCTTTTTTTAGTGGGGCAGATCACATCCTGCTGCTTCGGTGGTCTGGGCAGGAGTGGGAGGAATCAGCTTCTTCTTTCCCAGAATTCTGTTCTCATTGCATCATTTCTACTTCCTGTCTGGTTTTCCTGCCTATACTTCCTGCCTGGCCAATTAGCGTTTATTTAAAACATGATTGACAGAATACAGACAATTCTCCCACACCATTCTCTAACTTAGAATGTGTTCCTATGTGAAATTATGAGTTGAGTTTTTTGTATTTTTTATAGAAATTATCTGGTTCTCAGAATATATTTTTAAAATAAAAGTAGGGGGCTGGAAATGGTTCGATAAAAGTAGGACTAAGAGAGGTGATTCAGCAGTAAAGCACACTGACTGTCAGGCAGTGGTGGTGCATGCCTTTAGTCCCAGCACTCGGGAGGCAAAGACAAGCAGATTTCCGTGAGTTCGAGGCCCCCCTGGTCTACAGAGCAAGTTCCCTGACAGCTGGGGCTCTTAATCAGAGGAAAAGAAAAGAAAGGAAGTAAGAAAGAGCACTGATTGCACTGATTGTACTTTCAGAGCACCTGGGTTTGATTTCTAGTATCCATGGTGGCTAATACATCTTTTTTAACTCCATCTTCAGAGGATCTGACACCTTCTTCTGGCTTCCATGGATACTGCACACATGTTGGTGCATAGACAAACATGCAAGCAAAACATAAAAATAAATCTAAAAAACATGGTGAAAATGGAGTACTAGGAAATATTATATAATGATATTATAGAAGTATGATATTATAATATTTATATAGTGTATAAATACACATCTTGGTGGGGGATTAAGACAGGATCTGACTGACAAACTCCAGACCACCTTCAAGCTTGTGACTCTCCTGCCTCAGCTTCCTGAGCAGGGTTATAGGCAGGTGTCACCATACCTGCTTTTGTTCTTGCTCCCCCCTCATTTTTTTAAAGACCATGTTTCTCTGTGTGGCTCTGGCTGTCCTAGAACTTGCTCTGTAGACCAGACTGGCCTCAAACTCACAGCAATCTGCCTGCCTCTGTTCAATTACTCCTAGTCCTTGTTCTCTTTTTTGATGGGATGTTGGTAGATGGGCTTATACTGGTGATTATGAGCTTTGCATTGAAAATATGTTTTCTCTTACAGCCTGCAGATCTAAAGAAGAGAATAGAATCCCTAATTGATCGGGACTACATGGAAAGAGATAAAGAAAACTCAAACCAGTACAACTATATTGCATAGAATGTTGGCCTTGGAACATTTGTTGTCATATGCCGTAGCCATTGGATAAACTAACTTGTTGAATCTCATGTTATTTGACTTTTTTTATACTTCCAATGACCAAATGAAGCAGTGTAATGGAAATAGTTGCGTGGACTTTTCTCAGTGGTTAACATGCCCATTTAAAGAGTAATACTTAATCTTTAAGAAGAATGTTGTTGAACTCTTTGCATGTTATTTAGTATGATGTGCAGAAAACTCTTTAAGAAAGTTCCTGGTCTTCATGATTCCTTTTGGAACTGGGGAAGAGACCTCTATGGCCATTAAAAGGGGGGTAGGGGATTCTTATACATCATCAATGAAGCAAAAGGTTTATTTGCTTAAAAGTCACGTAAAGATACTTAAACTGCATGCAAACTTTATTTACTGTAAAGAGTTCTGGATGTATTTATCAAATAGAAAAACCACCCTGGACTTGTTTGTTCACCCATTTTGTGGTTTCCCTTGGAAAGAAAAATAAGTTGTTATTGCTGTTGGCATTCTGTTACACTGAAGGGATTGGTTAAGAAACCTTCTTTGGAAACAAATTTTTCAAGTAGGGTGACAGTTACTTCCATAATACCTTATATAGTCACATCCTAAAGGTTTTCATTTATGAGTATGGGATGTGTACACATGACTTAGCCCCAAATTTACTGAGCTGATTAACAGGTACTTATTAAGTAGATAAAATAGAAAAATTGCTGACCACCTTGCACTAGAAGAGCATAGTAAGAGGGGGAAATCCAGTTCTTTTTATTAAAAATGAATACTTTATTAAAATCACAGAAGACCGAAATCAACCTGTTTTGTAGACTACAGGAACAAAAATCACCAGCTACTTTTCATCATGCTTCAATTTTTAAATGTTGTTTGGATCGTTTGTCTTTAACTTGGGCCAGTTGTCAGTTATTAGAGGCTTCCTAGGGTTTGCATTCCAGTTTTTTCTACTGAAGTGGGATTTTTTGGAAGCATCTCTTCTCTGTTGGTAAACAAAGCTTTAACTTTCATCCACCTCCTGACTTGCAGAAACTCTACATATGCTTCTCCCTTGTCTTCCTTATATACTCCCTATTTGAAAATGTCAAGCCCTGGATTCTTTTTTTTTTTTTTTAATTGCTTGAATCGAAGAGTTCTCATAGCCACTAGACAACCTGCTTTTTCAGGGAAATGTCCTCAAATTGTTCACACACACAAAATAACCAAAGTATTGTTCTTCTAATTCAAAATGTGAGTAAAAGGCTTCTCTTCATTACCAGAGGGTTTTGTTTTTCCTTCTGGTTTCCATTTCTATGAAGGGAGTTGATTACTGGAGAGAAGCAGACAGTTTTAGTGTTTGCTTTTCAATGAGAACTTCTTCAGTGTTTCATTCACCAGCATTGTCCTTGTCTTTCTGAAGCCATTACAGGAGCTGCTTAGATCTGAACCTTCAACTTGGTTCAGATCTTATGAACCAAGATCTTATGTCTACTATTGATGGTTTTCTTGAATTCTCAGAGACCTGTGGCCAGATGTCTGTACTTTAACTTGCCCATTTCTCTTTATTGCATCAACTTGCACACTGTTTGACTATATATAGTGTTTAGAATTAACTTCCCAATTCTTTTTGAGCAGCTGTTTCGTATATTTTTATTCAGCTCCTCCCTGATTTCCTTACAGGAGCTCTTCTGACAAGGAAATGTGGCTGTTCTGTTTACTGGACCATCAACATCAGTGTTGTAATTCATCCCTGTTGGTCTCTGGGGTATGGAGACTATAACACCACTCACTAGTTAACTTTTACAGAATTTTTACGTGGAGTTGTTTCTACTAGGAGGCTCTTGATAACTACCTTCATTATTTTGAAGGTGGGTCCCTTTTCTGAGGTTCTTAATTCTTTGAAAATTTGATTCTGTCTCAGTTGAAAAACTAGCCAGACTATTAAGGGAAGCTGGTTAAGACACTGAAAAGTGATGGCAAACTACATTGGATAATTGTGAATTTCAGTTGTTCTGTATCACTTGAATTTTTGTGATTTTCCCCCCTGTGTATGTGGTGGTTCTATTTTTCTCCAATAAAACTTTTATTTAAAAAAAGTTTCTGAGGGAATATTTTTAAACTCCAAATATTGAGAAAATTGTAAAGCTAGAAAACAAAGTCTTCCTAAGGACTTCCTTAATTCACATTTGACGGTTCACATTCAATTATTTTTATACTTTCTCTTTGTTATTTTGTTGGTAGTTTTAAGATACTATGGAGGAGGTTATAGTCAAAGGATAGTAAAATTCCCAGCATTCTTAAAAGTAGACAGTTAGTGTCACTTTAGTGACAATCAAGCACAAGTATAAACATTTTTTTTTCAGTCAAACTGTCAAAGTGAGCAGTTTCATAATGTCAGTATGAAGGTAATTTAGATGGGACTTGAAAGGAGAAGAAGAGATGGTACTTACTTTGTTATAGTGCGTGCTTGCTATTTTTTCAATCGTTTCTGTTCTAAACAACATATCACAGATATTACTCAGTATTTTCCTAACTCAGTTCCTGAGTCTGCTGAATGGTCTTAACATGTCATCTTTCCATAGACTTGAAATTCCTATTACATGTGTGTTTGTACAGTTTATTCCTTGTAGTCATGTATATCTAAAGGATTGACAAGTTTATTTTCTATCCTAGTAGCCATAAATCTTTTTTTTTTCCTCTCTTTTTTTGAGACAGTCTTCCTGCATTTCCCAGGCTGGCCTTTAATTTATGATCTTCATGCCTTGGGCTCTTAAGTGCTAAGAGTACAGCTGTGGACTACTGTGTTTTGTCTCACACATCATCAGTTGTATTTGTTTTAATGACCACATTGTTTAATATTGCACATGACAAAATGCTGCATGTTTCAAGGTCTCATTTGCATAAAACTGCCAAAACCATTTAAGAAGGACCCAAAGGTAATGGAACTTTGTGTAATTATACTTTATTTTATATGTCCTTTATTTTATAAAGTAAATATACTTTATAAAATTCTAATGCTCCACTAGAGAATTTTTGCCAGTTGCTTACAAAAACCTTGGTTTAAGTCAAGTGTAGGTGATGCTCACCAGTAATCCCAGCACTTGAAGGCAGAGGCAGGTGATCTCTTTATCAGTTCCAGGCCAGCCAGGGCTGCATAGTGAAGCACTGTTTAAAAACAAACAAACAAACAAAAAAAATAAAAACAAAACAGAAAAAAAACAATCCCCCTGTTTTACATTGGAATAATTATCTGGTTCAAATATTATACTTTGTTCAGTATTTTTTTATTCCTACTATTAGAATAAAGTATATTACTTCTTTTGAATGGACACATTGTCCACTTAGAGCTAATATTTAGAAGTAATGTCTAGCACAGTAAAACCCTACTTATTTTATAAGATTTTTTCTATAGAATATAAGCATGTATGCTATTAAGACATATTAGAACTTAATACTTTTTTGCAAGCTATGAAACCGTCTTTTTACCCTCTAATTCCTGTAATAACATCTCTCTTAACTTTCTATTTTTAATTTTCTATTGTGCTAAAGTTTACCGTATTAACCATTTAGAAATATCCAACTGGGACATTTAGTGTATTCACTGTTGTGCAGTTATCATCACTCTGTAGTGTCAGGACATTTTCATCACCCCAGAAGAAGCTCAGTACCCAGTATGGAGCTGTTATTTTCCATTACTCTTCTACCTAGCCCCCAGAAACCACTAACCCCTTTCATCTGGATTTGCCTACTCTAGATAGCTTACACCACTGGAATTATGGCGTATGTTGGATTTCTTTCATTTAACATGTTTTTCAAGGTTCATCCATGTACATTTCAGGTATTCCTTTTTATAACTGAATTTTACATATATGTGTATGGGCATTCACATGTACATACATACATATGTTATATATACCATACTGTTAAATAGAAAGTAATTCTTAAGAGTGGGTTGTTTCTACTTTTTTGGAGGATTGTGTACACACTTGTTTAATTCCTTGTTTCACAATCTTTTGAGAGTATACACAGAATGACACTGATTTTGTTCTTCAAATTCCCATGCTGCCTAGTAGCATCTGGGTTCCTGTTTCTCTGCAGCCTCTTCAATGTATGCCAATTTCTACTGTCTTATGGCCGTCTTAGTTGGTGTGAAGTGGGTTCATGACAGTTAGGATTTTATTTCCTTAATAACTAATAATTTTTCATATCTTCTGTTGGTTATATGTAGCTTTTCTCTTAAATGTCTCCACACTGGCCATTTTCAAATAGGGTGTCTCTCTTTTGTTACCGAATTATAAGACTTGTTCATATATTTAGATACTAGATTCTTATCAAATAGAGTAGTTTACTAATACTTTGTTCAGTTAAAAGTTTTCTTCACTATCCTTTGCACAGAAATATTTAACTTTTTTTTTTACATTTGTGTTTGTGTGTGTGTATGTGTGCATGTGCACATGTGGCATGGCACGTATGATTCTCACCAGGTAGTGGTGGTACATGCCCGCACACCTTTAATCCCAGCACTCAGGAGGCAGAGGCAAGTGGATCTCTTTGAGTTCAAGGCCAGCCTGGGCTACAGAACAAGCTCCAGGACAGCTAAGACTGTTAGAGAAGTCCTGCCTCAAAATAAAAACATAAAAAGAGTTCGTACTCTTCCTCCCACCGTGGAGATAGCAGGGATGGAACTGACGTCAGGCTTGGCAAGTGCCTTAAGCCTACTGAGCCATCTCACCATTCCAAAAGTAGTTAATGAAGTGTACTTAAGCTATTTTTTTATTCTTTTGTTGCTTTTGCTTTTGGTATCTCGAAAGAATGGCTGGCAAATTCTCATTCATTCAGGATTTTGTTTTGTTTTGAGACAGGGTTTCTCTGTAGTCCTGGCTGTCCTGGTGCTCTCTCTGTAGGTCAAGCTATCTACCTGCCTCTGCTTCCCAAATACCGGGAATAGAGGCATCCGTCACCACCACCCAGCTTATTTTATTATTTTTGATGTTTTGTTTTTGGATTGGTGTTTGTCTAAAGTGTTTCATTTTTTGAGTCTCACTATGGAACCCTGTCTCACCTGCCTATG